GCGCCTCGGTCATTTGTTCCGTAAGTCTTCTACTTCCATCCTTACCCGTCCTCTTTACTTGTCTGCTGATGCCGTTTATTACTGTTCTTTTCCGATTTTTTTTCTTTTGTATCACTAGGGTTTCCAGGCCATCCGCTCGGCCTCTACAGTTCCTCCCACTGAACTTCATGCAAACAAGTTCATGATTTCAGGCCCGGCTCGCCCTTTCACCCCGGTGAACTCGCCAAATGAGAAGATCCCCGTCCCGGTACGTTTCCCTTCCTCCTTTCTCTGTCTTTTTTCGTTTTACTGACCCATCTACTCGGTTGGTTTTTTCAGGTTCATCCTTCAACCGTGGCTCCGACCTCAAGTCGTGCTGGCCAACATGTCGATCCTCAATTAGTAAGTCGCAGTTTCGATCCTCGATCCTTCTCGTACGGGATACTGATCCAAGTTCTATTGATTTCGGTTTTCTTTAGGTTCAAGAGGGTATCAATTTTTACCCGATCCAAGGCCGCTGGTCTCCGGTTTTTACTACCTCGGCTGGAAACTTCCCTCCCGGGCTCAGGAGCCCCGACTTCGTCAATCCTGGCTCAACCGACAGTAGCTCCGCCTCTGATTCCGACTCCTCCAGTTCTAAAGTCTCTGACGGTTTCAGTTCTGGATCTGAGTCTAACTCCAGCGCCCCAAGTTCTGGTCCACCCTCCATTCCTCACTCCTCGGCATTTCCGTCGCCATCCTCCTTGGATCTTCGTTCGGTTCCGCCCTCGGAGGTATTCTACGCCAATCGACCAAGACCACAACCTGTCGCCACTGGGTCTGGTAACTCCTATGATGACCCAATGGTCATCGACGATGATGCCGCCGCCGGTTCTGATCCAGAATCGGTTCCCTTCGGCCCGACCACCGAGTGGGGCTCCACGCAACAGGCTCGTCCTCCAACCAATCCCGTCAATCCCGACCCCTCGGCTCGAGAAATGATGGAATTCGATTATAACACTATTCGAAATCGCCTTGTCGGTTCAAACCCGCATCCATTCGGCACTAAAGTTTATCGTGAGGAAGACCTCCTCTTCATGTTCCAACATGTCGCCAACGATTTCATTCATTTGGCCAATAAGTATCCCACCTCGACTCTCGGCAAAATCAAGGATTGCGTCCAGTTTTATCAAAACCTTCAATGGGTTTTCACCGCTGACCGCTGTGGAACTACTCTTTGGTGGGAATAGAGCTTAGAGAGGGATGAGAGCTTGAAGGGCTGCCTCTCTGGTTACTGGGAGAGTAAGAAGAAAAAGAAATAAGAGTATGGACTCTTAAGGAAAGGTGTGGCTAAATGAAGATGTAAGATTTGTAAAGGGTAAGGTATGAGGATAATAATTCTGTGTGAAATGTCTTAATTCTGTAATGCTAAATATATTCCAAGTAAGCAATGCTAAATCAATGACCAGGGAGCAATAATGACAACTCTGATAGGGGACAAATGGCAAGGGCCAAGAGAGCACTACATATAAGTCTTCTGGGGGGAATAAGAAAACAAGGAGCAAGGCATCATCACAGGGTACATGTAACAAGGCAACAACATGGCTTGGGAGACAGGCTTGGGAATGGCATGTGTGACAAGGGTGAAACAAGGCTGAAGCAACAAGGATAGAAACATGACATAAGTGGCTACTGTAGTAAATTGCCATGGTATGTAAAGAAGGGAAACAAAGATGCTGAAGGATAAGGGTCTTTCCTAATAGTCTGGCCCTCTTGGATGGTGGACTTTCTCCCACTTTATACCTAATTTGTATTTATTTTATTACCAAGTGTGGCTGGTGATCCATGTAGATTGTCACTGATGGGTTGTTGGCCTTTGTGGTTCTGATGGTAGTGTCTATGAGGTGATTGGAGGTGGCCATGAGTGGATTACATATGTAGAATGTTGATTTGATGGTTGTTATCATATGTAGAGGGTGTGAAAATGGTCCAGAAAGGTGGTAGAAAGATATAACAAGTTTTGATTGGTCTTACCACATCCACCCCCAAATTAGATGATGTCCCCATCATCCAAACTAGAGTTACCTGTGATTACTTGAGGCAGAAGAGAGAAAAGAGAAGAAAGAAAGAAAAGATGTGACTGGGGAGAAAAGAAATGTGAAATATGTACAAATAATTTTATTAAAGCTGTGGGGAGAGTTGTGCCAGAGGAAGAAAAGAAGAAGAAAAAAAAAGAAGTGCATCAATTTTTATGTATGATTTTTTTAATGATTTATACTATAATTTTTATTTGATTGGTTTTAATCTTTGGAAAAAAAAATAAAGTGATGACAAGAAAAAGAAAAGGAAAAAGGGAATATTTCTATGCATTTTTTTATGGATTTTTATGTTGAGCTATGATTCTTTTTTCTGGTGGTTTAATGTTTTTTTAAGTCCTGAAACCTAAATAGTAGAGCTTGAAAAAAAAAGGAAAAGAAATTGAAGTAGAAATATTTTTTCTGAGCTCTGATTTATTTTCTAATGATTTTTTTGTTAGTTTTCAATTATTAGTTCTCCAAGAAAGAGTAAATTTATCAGCCAGAAATAAAAAGAGGATCTTATTTGTGCTCAAAAGGATGAATTTTTAAATGGAAAAAGTTTTTACTTCCACCCCCAAATTTGAATGATGTCCCCATCATAAAAAAAGAATGGGCAGGTTCCAAGGTTCATAACACTAGAAGAAGGGTGTACTGATGATTTTTGATATTGCTTGTCAGGGTCTACAACCATTTGTTTTTTTTTTTGGCTTTTGTTGATGATAATCCAAGAAAAATGAAGTTGGGTCCTCTCTAGTTGTTTGATGGGTTCGCTTCCACTCCTTCAATCAGATTTACCTTAATGAAACATAAGATTTTGACAAGAGCTTGGTGAATCTGCTGGGAGGTGGTATTTGGTGATGGGAAGCTTGATTTTGAATTGATTTGATTACTTTAAAAGATGTTATATAGTATGTAGTGTTCCAGAAAGGCAAAGAGCTGATCGCGATTAGGATTCCATTCTCTACAAGCTACTGCAGGTATACCAAAATGACCAGGAATCGATATCGATGGCCTGAAAGGAGATCATATGCAGAAAAAGGAGGAAGGAGTCGGTTGGGTCGAAGGATTATAGAAACCAGGATAGGTTGCTTGGTTCAGAGTTGGATAGCTGTAGTAGTGAGGAAAAGAAGATCAAAGAAGGGCATGGTGTTGCTACCAGTCTAAATAAGTCCTGAAGCAAGGCTGGTCGGACCGATCGGACCATTCTTCCAGTCAACTGAGTGCAGAATTTAGGAGACCGAGGCTGGTCCAGGTATTGATACTAATCACTTGAACAAAGGATGTGTAGAGAAAAGTAGAGCGACTCAAATGCAAAGAGTAAGGCAGTTGCTCTGTTGGTATGAAAGGAGAACGATCGGCTGAGAGTGGGCAAGTTTCTTAGAGGCGGAGAGGCTGCTGTAACTGACAGAACCAGCTGGTCAAGAGAGATGCCTGGTTAAAAGGCTGGTAGAAACAACTAGACTGGTTAATAGGCAATCAAATTGGAAAAATAGCCAAGCGTTGATGATGGTTGAAGTCTTTTTCTTTTGTCAGTTATGTTACTGGGGCTGTCCAATCCAGTCAAGTCATCGGCCTTGTGTTTAATGCTTGGGTGCCCCAATCCAAGTCTGTCTTCTGCAGCCGATAAGTCTATATATGTCCCAATCTCAAGATTATCTGATGCCTTATTTCCTTCATGACTGATTCCTGGCTCAAACAGTCCCTCTCGCTTCCCCGTTTGTTCGCTACCTCTCATCCAACCAGTCGTTCTCTTTACGCGTCGCACAAAAACCACACCAATCATCAAGCTACTGTGAGCTAACCCTTGTTGGTTCCGAACACCCAGTTTCTTGCCTTCCCAAACAAAGTCCTCTGTCGCGACCATCCACTTCCCGTTGTCGATATTCCATGCCAAGCGATTCAAGTCCATCGATTTGAAACTGTTTGCCTCCGATGCAAAATGAGATGGATTTAAACCACCGTATGTAAATTTATGACTTGATTTCCTGTGTAGAGAGAGTCCGAGACCTTTTGTGTATCTGCTGAAGCCAAATTTCTTCTTTTTACATTTCTGTTTTCCTTTAGAAAGACTCTTGAATGGAATTCGAGTGGACTGGGAAGCTGAAACCTTCATTCTATCAATTTTTTTTGGAAACCAGGCGAACTGTAAGCTATTCCTTCTATATTCTAGTGATGAGAATAGTGAAATTAGAGGTGATGAGGGATGATTGTTCAGAATCAGGCTGATCAACTTGTTTCTTTTTTCTATGGCTTTCACAGGATCTCCTGTTTGAATCGCTTCAAGGCTACCAGGATGGGGTTTGCGGAAACTTTGGCTGATATCAGGAGGCTTACAAATCTGAATTTTGTGCTGATGGGTAGTTGAGAGGTGAGTTGGAGCTGAAAGAAGTTCTGGTTGATGATATGTGATAGAGGCTGATTTGAAAATATTTTCTTTTGCTTTACCAGGGTCTTTCTGAAATGTACAATTTTCAAAACTACTTGTTGATGCTGTGGTGGGAGGAAATCTGGTCCCAAGGTAATTGTGTGAGTGTGACTGGGGGAAATTTTCTGGAAAAATAATCTGTCCATCTTCTGTAGTAGGTTTCTCTGGGGTTCCAATCCCTTCAGGTCTAGAAATTGTTGAATTTATCCTTGGAGACTGAGATTCTTCAGGGTTCAAGACTGATTTACACTCTAAGTTGAAACTATATTGGCTAACAAATTCTACATATTCTTTTTCTTGAAGCTTCTGTAGGGAAGGTTGATTTCCAGGAATTGAATTTTCTGGTGGATATTCAATTAAAGCCAATGGTAAGTTGTTTTCTGGAGGAATTTCATCTGAACAGCTTTCATTTTCTGATCCAAAGATTTCTGGTTCTTTGTTGTCCAAGGGTTCCAGAGTTTCCAAGGATTGGCCATCATGAAGGATCTGGGGTGAAGATTCTGGAGAGGTGGATGTGACTACTGGAGGTGGTTTTTCTGTTTGTGTAACACAGGGTGAGTTGGTTTCTGATTTGTCTATATGTTGAGATTCTCCAAAGATATACTGAAGAATAGTTTCATATGGTGGAAGTTTTTCAATTGAATAGCTCCTAGACAAGATTATATGACCATACCAGATGAGGGGATCAATAATTTCCCTCCTAACTCTTGGACTGAGACAGTTCCAAAAAGACCTGGTGAATTCCTCTGGATGTTTGATGTATCCATTGCTGACCAAATAGTGAGTGATAGTTTCAAATTGGATCCTGAATTGATGAAGTTGATCTGAAGTTCTGATTCCTCCCAGGTTGATGAAATAGCCAAATAAGTTGTCCAGATCCTTCCTAGCACATTCCTCCCTGGTAAAAGCCAATCCATCCTTGGGTATGTAGAGAAAGTTTATTTCTTCCTGTTTTCTTTCCAGGCCAGTCAGACAGAGACCAAAGGGTGAGCTTCCAGTAGTTTGAGATTTTTCAGGTGGTGCATAGCTGATGGAAATATAAGTTGGTGTAGGTGATTGCTGATTTTTCAGGGATTCCAAGGTGTCATTTTCTGAGGAAGGTGGGCTGATATTTCTTTTGGGTCCAGGGCACAAAGTTGGTTTGAATTCAGATTTTCCGGAGAGGGAAGATGAGAGTTTTCTAGGTATGTAGGTTCCATTAGATTTTCCAGGGAGAGTAGGGGCTGATCCATGATTTAGCTGTCCTGTAGATCCTTTGAAAGGGGGGATTATCATAGCAGAGACATTGATTGATAGTTTGGCCTTCATGATCTGTTGTCCTGGGAATGGTCCAGAAAAGGAGTTTCTTCTTGGTATAATATTCATGGTGGTAGGATGGTAGCTGAGTTGTGGATATTTCTAGGATATTTTCTTGGGAATGCTAGTAATATATCTATTAAAGGTTCATCCTGAAGGATTCTCTAGGAAATTTGACAGGAAGCTTATGGGTATTGAGGTATGCAAAATATTCTAACTAATATTATTTTTATTTTTAATATAGTCTAGCTAATCTGAGGAAGTGTAATGAGAGTAGTTAAGTAAGTTTTCAAAACCAAGACTTATGTGAAATCTAGACTAATAAAACTAATGGTTCTGTTTATGTAGGCTAATAACAGTAAGACTAAATAATCTAAAGATCTTCAGGAGGCCACTGTTGGGACACCACTTGTGGAACTACTCTTTGGTGGGAATAGAGCTTAGAGAAGGA